CTAAAATAGCTGAGATGATGCAGCCTTACAGACCACAAAAACAAGAACTTCAACAGGTTTCTGGGTTTTTTCTTTTGTCATAATCCCCATGGTATTTCAGCGCCCCTTAACAGCAGGAAGTAGTTTGGAAAGAACGATGCCCACATTCCCAAATATTGTTTATAAATGTTTGTATACTAAGATTGGCATTAACGTCCTAGTCACCTGAGATAGGTGCTAATTTATATATAAAGAAGGGGGGAGATGTTGGGCCCCAACTCCACGGGGTCTCTGTGAGTTGCTGGTCAGCCTACAAGGGCAACTTGTTTTCCAGTCCAAGTGCTTCCTGTTTTCTAGTCCTGGCTTACTGCCCCAGCCTTGACCCTCTGACATCAATATTCCGCAGGAGGAAAACATGCTCTCTTCTACCTGGGGTTTTTCCACTGTGCTGTAAACCTGTATATAAAGCTCCTCCCTCCTACAAGAGAGACCTCTTAGCATTTGTAATGAAGATGCATTCACACACATTCTCCTGGCAATAAAGGCAGCACATGCATTTTCTTAGTACAAACAGTTTGTACGTATGGTCTTTCTTTTCCTGATACCTTGGACTAGCTTATGGCACGGGCGCCGCAACTTACAGGCTGTGGTTCAGCTAGTCTGACAATGGCTGCCCATGGATAGAAAGTCCAAGAACTCAGAAGTTTCTCAGTCCATGGGGTTGGATGCCTCAGCTGTTCTTCAGTAGACACTGGAACCCCAGAGAAGTAGGCTCTAGGACCCGGGAAGGAATGTACACACTAGCAAGGTGTAGAGTACAGCTTCCTTCTTCCAGCAGAGGGTGTGGCCCAGATTTGTAGAACAAGTTCTAATTGGTCTTAATAATAAAAGCCCAGAGTCAGGGGGAAATGCTGAGAGATCAGAGAGATGAAGGACAAAACCACAGCCCCCTTACTTACTCTACTTCCCAGCCCACAAGAGACTGAGCTCCTGTCTCCTCCCACCTAATCACTCACTTCCTGTCTGTCTGTACAGACCTCCAGACCTCTATGGTTGGCGAGTGGCTATCTCCACCCTCTGATCTTCATTCAGGCAAGCTTTATTTGTTAGAGTATAACAAGATACCACCACACAGATTAAAGGTTGTCTTCCTGCCTCAAGATCTGGATTAGAAGTAGATCTTTCTACTTCAAAAGCGAACATCCCCCAGAGCCGTGTCCTCCATTTTTGGATTTTATTTAATCCCAGAGGTAGTCAAGTTGACACCACGAGTTAGGACTTCACCTTGTGACTTGCTGTATTCCTACCCTGACTTTGTTATGTCACAAGGTTCTTCCGCTTTACAGAGACCAAAGCCCAGGGTTAAGACAGAGGGACACATGGTCGGCCCCAGCAAGTGAGGCAGAGCCTGTCGGAGGTCCTGGCGGTCCTGTCTTGTGGGGGATGTTTAGGACTGACCTCCTTCCTTCATGTGAGGCAGCCTGGGCTGGCAGAGGATCCAGCGTGGACGCCCCGCCCTGCTCTGTCCCTGCCTCACCTTGCCTCCTTGGCATGATCAAGCCTAGTAGGTCCTGGCTGCTCACTGGCACTCCCGAGTGCCTGGGCTCCTCAAAAGTTCCAACTGGACTGATCTCAGGAGGGCCGCAGTGTCTCAGCTCTTAGGAGCTTCCAGATGGTTCTATACAATGTGGAGTGTGTGGGTAGTCAGTGAGTTAGATGAGAATGGGCCGAGGAAGGTGCAAAGAGTAGACGGAATTCCTCCGTGTTCTGCCCTTCCCTGCCCACATGACAGAGCACCACCAGAGGGAGGGACAACCTGCGTCGTATCACAAAAGGCCGGTGGCCCGTGTTTGCCTCCCTCAAACTTGGTGTAGAGTCAGTGATACCTACCATCCTGCTACCCACCTGTCCCCATTCATCACCCACCAATCATCCAGTCATCCATCCGTTATCCACCCAGCCACCTCCTCATCCAGCATGCGCATACGCATCCATCTGTCCACCATGCCATCCAATGGCACACCTAACTACCTGTCCTCTGACTCACCTTTGATCTTTTTACCCACTCCGATCAGACACCCATCTATTAACACATCTGGCTTCTGATTTCTCATCTGCTCATCCATCCACGCATCTGTATACCCATGCATGCATGCACACTTTCATGCAAACACACGTGCACTCATCCACCTCTGCCCACTCAGCCATCTTTGCTTCCATCCACACATTCATGTGTCTGACATTCACCCATTTATCCACCCAGCTGTGCATGGGTCTGCTCCCCCACCCGTCATAGCAACTTATGGAAGAGACGTTTATTTCAGCTTACGGTTCCAGACTAAGAGTCCTTGGCAGGGAGGCAAGGCAGCAAACAGCAGGCGTGGTGGCAGGAGCAGGAAGCGGAGAGATCATATCTCCTACCACAAACATGAGTCAGAGGGCAGACTAGACGTGAGACGGGGTTATGAACTCTCAACCCCCTCAGTGACGTACTTCCTCCAATAAGACTGTGTCATCTCTGCAAAAGGCATCACCAATGGGGACAAAGTATTGAAATACCTGGGCCTGTGGAGGACATTTCTCATTCAGACCCCCTCTCTATTCACTTACCTATCTGTCCATCTATGTATGTGTGCATGTATATATGCGTCAATCATCCATGCACTCATCTATTCCCCTAGTCAACTCAATTATCCATCTGTCTACCCGTACACCCACCCACCGATCCATCCATTTACATCCCTGTCCTGTCCAACTGTTCGTCTCTCTACCATCTAACCACGCATACCCATCATTGTACTTCCCTATCTTATTTAACTCTTCATGTATCTGCCCATTTATTCACGCACCCACTTGTTGATTCATTATCTATCCACTAATTCATCCACCATCCTTCCCTCATCCACGCACCCTCCGTCTACCCATGTATCATCTGTTTACCTATCCATAAACCCATGCGTCCATCTGCTCCCATTTCTACTCACTCACCTACACAGCCATCTATCTACCCATCTACCCATCAGTCCACCTGTCCGTCCGTCCACCCATCCGCCCATTCAGTCATCCCTTCATCTGTCTCTTTTTCTTTAACTAAGGGCTGTTGAGGTCTTCTCTATGCTGAGTCATGAACTGGAAGTGGGGTATACAGTTATGAGCCAATCCTGATCCCCCCTCCAGCCGCTCAGTCTAGTGGAAGAGTCATCTGTGGAAGCGCTGATGGTGACTAGGCTGCTTGAGGGACGGGGGGAGGGCCCTGTCCACTGGGCTGGGGGTGGGGGGGGCCCTGTCCACTGGGCTGGGAGTGCAGGGTAGAGGAAAATGGCAGACGTTACACCTGCCCACAGCTTTGGGTTGTGAGGGGCGTTGCTGAGTCTCTGCCTCCCCGATAAGTGTTATATCTGGGTCTTTCTCATGGTGTCTCTCTCAGTGTACACAGCCAGTATCTGCTGTCTCACTTTACTGCTCCCAAGCCAGGGTCCGGGAGGGTCTGCTGCCAGCCCTTGGTAGGGCCTGTGATGGCCACCCTTGGTCACATTGCATCAAGGAGCTCCATGGGCCCTGTCACCACAGTTCCGCCTCCTCTTCATCCTGTGTATGTGTGCGTGTGCGCACACGTGTGTGCCTGTGTGTGCGTGTGTGTGCATGTGTGTGCGTGCGTGTGTGCGTGCATGTGTGTGCGCTTGCATGTGTGTGTGCATGTGCACTTGTGTACACACGCACACAGAGGCCAGGGTCAAGGCCTTACACCTCGTTTAATCACTTCTCCACCCCCACCCCCTCTCACGTGCGTGCATGTGAAGTCAGAAGGCAGCCTTGAGTGTTGGCGTTTATCTTTCCCCTTGTTTGGGTCAGGGTCTCTGTGTTTCTCCTATCAGATAGACTGCAGACGGGCACAGCTTTTACATGGGTGCTGGAGATTTGAACTCAAGCCCTCATGCTTGTGTGGTAAACATCTTCCCAACCCAGCAATCTCCAAGCTCTTCCATTTCTTCCATCTTCTTTTGCCCCTCCCTCCCTCTCCCATTCCTTCTGTGAGTTTGTTTTTAGTACAGGATCTCCTATAGCACCATCTGGCTTTGAACGTGCTATGTAGCCAAGGTTGACCTCGAACGCGGCCCTTCATGGCCCTACTGCCTCCACCTCCAAAGTGCTGGAATTACAGGTGCACACTACCACACCTAGCCATTGGTTTCCTGCGGTGCTTTGGTCATGTGTGGGTGTATCAGTTACTTGTCCTGTTGCCATGACTGAATCTCCAACAAAGGCGACTCGAGGAAGGCTTTATTTGATACAGTCTGTCATGGAAGGGAAGGCCCAGCCGCCAGAGCTTGAGGCATCTGTCACGGGAAGTGGACAGCTGAACGCTTGGGCTTAGCTCGCTTCTTTTTATTCAGACGGGGACCTCCGCCCACGGAATGGTACCTCCCTTGTTAAGTGGGAGACTTCCTGTCTCGGCTCAGCCTAGACTTCCCCACTGAGCTGTCCAGATGTTTGTCTCTCAGTTGACTCCTGTCTGGCGCTCACACCAGGCAGACACTCTCCCACCTCAGCTGCTTCAGCAGCCCTGCCTCTTCCTTATTTGATGGGTAAGAGGAAAGCTGTTCCCCTGACAACAGCGGTGCAGTCAAGGACCAAAGAGGCTGAGGGAGCTCTAAAGGCCAACTGCTCCAGGGCCTGCAAGGCGGGAAGCGCCTTTTCATTCCCTCCCTTACTGAGACTCTAAGAGGTTAAATCCCTTGGCCAAGGCTACCAGGTCTGGGGATACCCCATGTTCCTGTTGGACTTACGTTCACCAAAGGGGCCGTCAGAGCCTGGTGACCCCAGAGGTGTGTCTTCTTGACTGAAGCAGAAAGGAGCCAGGGATAGCTTCCCTGAAAGCCCCTTTGCCTGTGCGTCTGTTCCAATGAGGACCTGCAGTCTGTCCTGGCTTGGGTCCCAAGTGGCTGTGTGGCATTGAGCAATGGCCACACGGCTTTAGTGAGTGACTCACTTCTCCTGTGCTGAGCTCCCGAGGTTGGGGGCTCTCTGGCCCCACAGCAGAGGCCAGCCTAACAGCTAGCCCCACTTTCTCCCATTGTCAGGGCACCACCCTTGCATGGAAAGTTGGGTAAGCAATAACAACCTGTGGGGAGCCCCTGACTGCTTTGCTTCCTTCTGGAACGGCTTGAGTTACGCATGCTGAGCTGCACAGCTGCAGCAACACGGTGCCTCAGAGACGACACGTCTCGTCCAAGCCTGGTCTTTGGCTGTGTCTGAGCTCTGGGCTGATGTGGGGCAGCCCGCTTCCCTGTGGAGGTTTTCTAAGCCTGGCAGAGCCACATGGAGCCTGGGCACAGCTGAGGTCCTCCGAGTGAGCACCCTCTGGAGCTAGTCACAGCCACAGGAGCCCAGCTGCTGCTGGCAGGATGGAGGGACATCTGTGCTTCTCTCTCAGGTGTTTCTGCCAGCTCAGAGGCCAGGTGACGCCCTTGGGCCAAGGAAGGTCTGGCTAGCTGCAACTTGGTGTGTGGGCACTCACGGCTCTGGGCCTCCCCGCCCATGCTTGTCTTCTCCCACCAGATTTCATTCTGTCTCGGTGCCAGCTCCAGCTGGAGTGCCTTCCTGCCCACCTACCCAGTGAATGCTGTCTGCATCCTCACATCTGACTACATCCGCAGGGGCTTGAGGTACGTCTTCAATCACCCTCTTCCTTTTTCCTGTTGGATTCTGTCGTGTGTGTGTGTGTGTGTGTGTGTGTCTGTGTGAGTGTGTGTATATTTAGCATTCTGTTCTTGAAGCAGGGTTTCATTGTGCAGCCCAGGCTAGGCCAGAACTCAGTATATAGACCAGGCAAGGAACTCTTGGCAATCCTTCCAAGCGCCGGGAATTCAGGCGTGAGCCATCGTGCCTGGCTTAGGGTTTCCTCTTCCACCTCCTCCTCCGTCTCTCCCCAACTCCCTCCTTTTCTTTTTTTGCCCTTTCTTTTCTTTCTTACGCTGCTGGGGACTGGCCCTCACACACGCTAGACATATCAGTTGCATCCTGTTGCTGAGGGGAAGGGAGGACTTACTCTGGCTCACAGTTTTAGGGTGCAGTCCATCATGATGAGGAAGATTGATGACAGGACCTGGAGGTGGCTGGTCACACAGCATCCATGGAGAGTTGGATGCTGGGATGAGCTCTCTAGCTCCCTTTCATTCCGTTTGGTCCCAGCCCATGGGATGGTGCTATTCACTTTATGGGGGGTCTTTCCGCCTCGGTTAACCAATCTAGAAGCTCCCCCACCAACTCATCCAGAAGCTTGTCTCCTGGGTGACTTGGGGTGCTGTCTGAATGACAATTAGTAGCAGCTGCCACACTAGGAAAGCAAGCCACACCTGTGCTATATCCCTGCACATTCTGCCACCTTAGCATGACCCTGGCCACTTGCTTGTGTATCCCATGGTTAACTTCTCCTGTAAAAATGCAGCCTTCATGGACAAGGATGGAGCCAGGACCTGGCTTAGCACAAGAGGGCTGCTTTCTGGTTGGTGCATGGGCTCAGCGGGGCCCATTCTTCTGAAACTGTCTGTCTGCTCCCCCTCTGTCCTGGACCCGCCACACACCTGCTATGCTCAGGCTCCTCTGAGGCCATCCTGAGCTCACATGGACATCACACACACTTAGAGCTGGAAATGAGGTCTGGGTGGATGGCTGGGAAGACTCTGTGGGGTTGCGTGTGTGTGTGTGTGTGTGTGTGTGTGTGTTTTGAGGGAGCAAGAAGGGAGAGAAACCTGGGCAAGAGGCTGTCAGTGGGTGACGGGGCTCCATCCAAGCTGGGAGTTCCTCAAGGGCAGCCAGAGACCATTCAAGCCCCACCCCTTCTATTACCCCAACCTCTACGGTGGCCAGGAGAAAGTCCACTGGGAAAGCCAGCCACTGGGAAAGGCTCCTTGTTGTTTGGGGCCACACTCGGAGGAGGAGCCGGCTTGGGTGTGTCCCTGCCCTAGTTTGCTTCCCACTGTGATAAGGAGCATGACCAAAAGCAGCTTGGGGAGGAAAAGGTTTATTTGGTTTGCGTGTGCTAATCACAGTCCATCATCAAGGGAAGTCACAGCAAGACCTCGAACGGCAGGAACCCGGAGGCAGGAACTGAAGCAGAGGCCATGGAGGGAGCCGCTGAGCTGACCAGCCTTCCCCTTATGGCTTGCTCAGCCTGACTTCTTATACAACCTGCCCAGCGTCTACCGTGGGCTTGGCTCCCCCACAACGTTCATTAACCAAGAAAAGGTACCCCACATTTGCCCACAGGACGACAGTCTGATAGAGGCATTTTCTCAGTTGAGGTTCTCTCTTCCCAGATGACCCTAGCTTGTGTCAAGTTGATAAAACATTAGCCGGCACAGTCCCCTTCCTGGAGGCAAATAGGGAAGTATCCAGCAGGCTCCCATTTGACAAAGAAGCAAGCGGAAGCCCTAAGCCCAGAGGTCAGTCAACAGCTGGGGATGGAGCTGGGGGGGGGGAGAATGCTTTCCCAGCATGCGCACAGTCCTCCTGGGGGGACAGAGAGACAGAGATAGAGAGACAGAGACAGAGAGACAGAGAGAGATAGACACAGAGAGACAGAGAGATGGACACAGAAAGAGACAGAGACAGAGAGACAGAGACAGAGAGACAGAGACAGACACAGAGAGACAGAGACAGAGAGACAGAGAGATGGACACAGAAAGAGACAGAGACAGAGAGACAGAGAGAGATAGACAGAGAGAGACAGACACAGAGAGACAGAGATACACAGAGAGACAGAGAGACAGACACAGAGAGAGACAGAGACAGACACAGAGAGATGGAGACAGACACAGACACAGAGAGACAGAGACACAGAGAGACAGAGACAGACACAGAGAGATAGAGACAGACACAGAGAGACAGAGACAGAGAGACAGAGAGATAGACACAGAAAGAGACAGAGAGACAGAGAGACAGAGAGATAGACACAGAAAGAGACAGAGAGACAGAGACAGAGAGAGACAGAGACAGACAGAGAGAGATGACAGAGACAGAGAGAGATAGAGACAGGGACAGAGACATGTAGAGAAACAGAGACAGAGAGACAGAACACATACACACACACAAGCTCACCACACACACTCAGAATATGATAGGTTTGATAGGTTGCTTTGCAGACATTTTCAAGACTGGGAACAAATGCTTTCTTCTTTTTAAAATCCTGTGCCTGCCTTGGTCTGTTGAATGCTCACAACACCAAGGCCACAGTTCCAGATGAAAGGGTCAGGCAGGACCAGGTCCCATCCTGGCATGGGGTGGCCACTGTGGGAGCCTTTTGCCTTGCTGAGTCAGGTCCCTTTCATAAAGGGGAAGCCATGGCCCTCACCACCCAGACCTGTCAGGCATGGTCCCAGGAGGCAGAGCACAGACTCTTCAAGCTGAGCAAGGGGCTTCCCAGCAGGTGTGCCAGTGGAGTCATGTGCCTGTAGGTGAATATCCCATTGCTGAGACCCAAGACTGCCAGTGGCAAGGGCAGACCGCCCCAGGCTCCTGCATCTCTCTCAGCCCATCCATTTGTGTCTGACCAGGCACACATGTGGCGGTCCCATTACAGATAAACAGTAGGGTCAGCCACTTGGTCACATAGATAGTCTAAGTCCTACCGGGGTGACAGTCAGATCTGCCTACTCTTGACTGTCAATGGCAGGCGGAGCTATGAATCTCTCCTCAAAGTGAGTACCCTGGTCCCAGCTTGGTTCCTGGTGAACAGAGCAGTCCCTCACTGGGATCAGGGACCTGTCCAGCACCCCTGTGCATACCATGAGTCATTTAAGTGGTGGCTGGACCTTGAGTCTCACTGGGGAAGGTGCCTCTCTCTGATTTCCTGGCTTCCACTCATCCGTCCTGACTCATCTCCAATCCTTCATTGCCCCATCATGGACCCCCATCCCGGGGGACCAGTTTCATGCCTGCAGGTTCCCACGGACAGCTTGACTTGGGCCCAGGCTGGGGGGGGCGCGCGCGCGCGCGCACACACACACACACACACACACACACACACACACACACCCTTCCCAAAGCAAGGGCAGTGCTGCTCTTGCCTGCCTGGGGATTTGAAGCAGGGATGCAGTTGCCTGGTTTTCATTAATTGGGTCTATGAGGGTTTCTATTTTCTCCCAGAATACCGATTGATCTAGGCGAGGTAAACAGCACTGCCAAAATTGGGGGGGGTGCTGAGGGAGGTGGGGGTAACTGATGCGACTTGACATTTACTCAGAGGGGGGGGAGGGAGGAGGTGAGTCACAGAGCGGAGGAGCCTCAGCCCACAGGTTCTGCAGAAGGAGCTGAGCGGTGGAGAGAGGCAGGGAGGAGGGCAGGGGGAACCAGCAAGCCTCTGATCTGGTTTAGCGGAGCCCAGGGAGTCCTGGGGGTGCTCCACACCAGGGGTCACTGGGTCTTTTTATGGCTTTGGGGGTGGGAGCCCTGGATGAGGGTGGGACAGAGCCGATGGCATTTAGTGCGGGACTGAGTCTTCCCCTCCTACTCGCTCCCCTTCTCCCTCCCCCTGTCCTTTCCTTCCTTCCCTTCCTTCATCTCCCTCTCCCTCCCTCCCCTTCTCTAATTTTTTTCTTTTAATCTCAGATCACCTTGTAAGTGAGAGGAAGTGAGCTGAAGGGGAGACAGGCAGGTGGGATGGGGCTCTTCCTTCCTCCTCCAAAAACCCCTGCTCAACCATTTCTGCTCCTGTTTCCCTGCTTAGTGCGCTTGCATTAGCATCTGCAGGAGGCATGGTGACACCAGGGGACCTGCAGACCCAGGTGAAGGCCACAGTCAGTAGGCCTTGTTCTCTGGAAACTCGGGGTAGCACCCCTTGCTACCCTTAATTTTGGTCACCTGCCACAGCCGAGGAAGTCCTCTCCATGCACTCACCAAGAGTGGCCACCAAGTCTGCTCCTGTCCAGCCTGGTTCCTCCTCGTGGCTTTTGTTCTTCCTGCCTGGGGTGCGTCTCTCCTGGCTGCCAGGCTGCAGCTTACCCCTTTCTTAGGATTGGCTGTCCTGACTCCCCTAGGGAGACTTCTTCTGGGTAACAGAGGCCACTTTTGTTTGTTTGCTTTTCAGTTTTCACAATCCAACACTAAACACATCCAATCCCCCCAAACCTTCATCTGATCTCATAGTCTCTGTGCTACCAGTCTCAGAGCCTGTGACACTAGAGCCTGGCCTTTCCCAGCCCCTCCCTCATGCAGCCTCTCCAAGAGTAGTCCACACTGAGCGTGCCTGGCTGTGCCCTTCAGCATCTTACACCCCAGCCTTGTTCTCTCCTGTGGCCCCTGCCCAGCGCCAGGCTCCTGTCACTGTACCCAGGCTGTGCTCTTGGCCTCTATAGATTCTGTTCTCTGCTCAGAGGCCAGAGGACCATCTTGGTGATGACTGTCCAGGAGAAAGGACAGTTCTTTTGGTAGCTCTAGGCTTCTGGATTTCTGTGAAGTCTGCTGCCCATCCAACCTGCTTCCTTTGGAGCTGGTGTGGCTGCTGTCTGTTTTTGGGGCCTGTCTCTGCTTACCCATGGTGCTCTGCACAGAGTCTGTGTGTGTGACAAACAGGTCTGGATTATTTTCATTTCTCTTAAGCCCACAGTTTGTTGTTCTAGGGCCTCTCTCTTTTTGTGGGGGCAGGGGCTAGAACCCAGGACCTCATACATGGTAAGCAAGTGCTGTCCCTGAGAGTTACACCCACAGCCACAGAATCATCTCTTAAACGTTCCTGTCTGCTTCCCTTCTCTCTGAGGTCCAATTAAACTCCATCTTTTCTAGCCTGTCTCCTATGCAACCTCTCCATTTTATGCTTCTCTGAGATGCATTTTGGATATTTTGTTTTAAGTTTTATTTTCCCCCCAGCTTAATAATATTTTTTTTTAATTTTTGGGGGGAGTTACAGACAATGCATCCTGATAAGACTTGCTTCCCATTCTTCCCAGGCCCAGCCTCCCACCTTTGTGACTCCCCCCCCCCCCCCCGCCCCAAAACAAAACTCCAAGTCCAGTCTGTGCTGCCCATATAATCACTGGAGCATGGTCAAACTCCCAGTGGCCAGCCCCCTAGAGAAAACAGTCCTCACCCCGCCCCCAGAAACCATCAACTGTGAAGAGCTACACTTCAGCATCTTTATCACAGTTTTTAAGGACTCCTTTGGATGGTTCCCCCTGTGGACTGCTTCTTTTCTCTTCTGTTTTTTAGAGGGGAGGTTGTCACAGAAGTGTTCAATGTCTCTCATTCTCAGTAATGTCCTCAGTCATCGATACCACTGCAAAAGAAGCTCCCTTGCCCATAACGGCCAGCGGCAGCACGGATCATGGACTTCTACATGGTTTCCGGTGGCAGCACGGACCACAGACATCAGCACTGACCATGGCCATCAACATGGTCTCCAGTGGCAGCATGGACCATGGAAGCCTTTTGTGGAGATTTAATCCAGAAAGCGGACCACTCTTCCTCTTAAGTTGTTGCTCAGAGTCAGGATGATTGTGAGGTTGGGCGTTGGTTGGGATCGTGTCTCGGGTGGTGGTGATGGGCAGGACCGATGCAAACTCCAGGCTGCTGTACACTACCCTGCCCTCTTCACTGGCCGCCCTGCGAGTGTCCTCGGGCGTGAGTCTGCAGCCCAGCCACAGCGTGCTCCTTGGTCCTCCACCATGCCTCTACTTCTGCTTCTCGCCACTACACATGCCCTCCATTCCACCATCTTTCCCATTTCTCCATCGCACATTCATTTATTAAGGTGGCACTGCAATCTGTTGCGTGTCACACAGTGTATTATTTTTCCCAAACAGCTTTACATGCAAATATTTATTGCAACAAATCACTGATCTGGTTCAAGGTTTCTGAAGCACCACAAATACTGGAATATCACTGAAACTCATCTCAGATATCCTGCTGTTGCCCAGAGTCACAGGGAGCAGTGTGTCCAGGGCCAGGACCTGTGTGTGGTGGCCTGTCATGCTTTCCTCCCCTGCAGTGGCAGCGGCGGTGGCGGTGGCTCCGTTTCACAGGCCTTACATTTTATTTTGGAAGATTTATGTCTGAATGCATGTATATGTGTCTACCCTATGTGTGCCTGGTGCGCACAGAGATCGGAAGAGGGCATCAGATCACTTAGAGCTGGAATTATAGATGGTTTTGAGCTTCCGTATAGGTGCTGGGAACTGAACCTGGGTCTTCTGCACGAGCAGCAATTGCTCTTAACAGATGAGACAACTCCCCAGCTCATAAAAATTTTAAAACATTTTAGGGGGGCCATGCTTACTGTGCACGTGGAGGTCAGAGGGCATCGTGGGGGTCAGTTCTCTCTTCTCGCTGTGTGAGTTTCAGGGATTGAACTCAGGTCTCCAAGCTTGGTGGCAAGCACCTTTATGGTATGGGCCATCTCGCTGGACCCTCAAATTTCCCTTTCACCCATCTTCTTTTAACCTAATTCTTTCTTTGGCTGAATCGAATCCGTTCTCCAGCCATCCCTTGCTTTTAATCTCTATTACTCAGAGAGAGGAGGGAGGGACATGTGAGTCATTTGGAGCATCAGCCCACAGATGCGCTGGTGCAGCTGAGCAGGTGGTTCCCAAAGCTTTGGTTCTCCAATTTCGCAGACTGCAGGGAGCCCTGCGGGCTCTCCATCCTGACAGGAGGTCCCTGAGAACTAAAGTGGCCATGTGTGTGGTTCTGGATGTGGGATCCTGGAAGGCAGGTGAGACACAGGCCCATGAACGCATCTACAAAGAATGAATATTGTAAGCATACTGATTCACCGTTTAATGATTAAACACCAAAATCCAAATGTGTCCAGCACCATGACCAGTGGGTCAGAAATACAATCTCAGTGTGATTGTTTATTTACATATTATTGTATTCTGGGGTCAAGTGCAGCCACTCAGATGTGCTAGACTAGTGCTCTACCGTTGAGTTGTATCCTTGGCCTCTGAGTCTCTTCTTTTCTTAGTTTGTTTGTTTTTTGTTTTTTCAAAACAGGGTTGCTCAGGGGTTGGAGAGATGGCTCAGTGGTTAAGAGCTTTGGCTGCTCTTCCAGAGGTCTTGAGTTCAGTTCCCAGCAACCACATGGTGGTTCACAACCATCTGTAAAAAGATCTGGTCTGCAGGCAGACATGCAGAATACTATACACATAATAAATAAATAAATAAATAAATAAATATATATTTTAAAAACCAGGGTTTCTCTGTGTAGCCCCGACAGTCCTAGAGCTCCCTTTGTAGACCAGGCTGGCTTCGAACTCACAGAGATCCACCTGCCTCTGCCTCCAGGGTGCTGAGATTAAAGGCATGCGCCACCACTGCCCGGCCAATGTTTCCACTTGTAAGGCACTCTTGAGCTTCGGGGCTGGTCAGAATTGTAACAAGAACTCGCAGTGACCTGAACAGGACGTGTGGCTGCCCCTCATCCGCGTGAGTCTAGGAAGACATCTTCACAGTGTCTCTCCAGGTCTGGCCTCACTGCTTCTCTGCAGGCCCAACACCGTTCTTCACACTCAGCCATCTTACCCCTGAGGTGCTCTTGTTTCTGGGTGTAAGCAGGCACTGAGAAGACGGCCTGGCTGAGGTCTGTTCGCCTCCTTGGTGTGGCAGCCACCTCCTCCAGGAAGCCCCCCCTGGAAGAAGTTTCCATCACAAACCTCAGGGGAGGCAAAGGGGAGTGCACAGCCCAGAGCAGCTGGGCCTGTCCTCTGGCAGAGGCTCAGGAAGAAGAGGTGGAGTCTGGGGAGAGGAGAGGCTGGGGAGCTGGTGTGGGGCACAGCGGTGAGGCTGGGCCCAGGAGGAGGCTGTAGACACAGAGACGGGGTGGGGGTGGGGGGTAGGGGGGAAGATTTTGGAGTGAGTCGGAAGCTGATGGACAGAATTGCAATGGCTTATCTGTGGGGCTGAGCAGGGAGGAGCTGAGTCTCTGCCTTCACCTCAGGGGATGAAAAGGCATTCTTGTAGATGAAGGAGGTCTGGGGGGGGGAAACCAGCCTGGTGGGGTGCCGGAGGGCTTGGCATCCAGAGCTCCAGTTTGGGCCAAGGTCTCTGGGTCAACCAAGTGGATATATTCAGCTTTCATGAAGGTGGCTGGGATTTAGAGGCTAGTGATGGTGCGCGTAGCCACTAACACGCCCCAGCCTCCAGCTTCTGTGGGTTTGGGGGACTCTCCTCTTGGAGGGACTTAGAGAGACACTGGTCATAGCCTCATCCGTTTATCTCTTTCACTTTCCACCATGAGGTGAAAAAATAGTGGCGTGGCTATTGCCTGTCTGGTCATAAGCAGCACATTCTCATGCTGACCACTCCACGAGGCAATCATGGCGGTGAGGGGCCAGGACCTGCCTTAGTCTCTCTGCCTGTCCTGCTTGATGAGATAATGGTGCATGCTTGTTTCACACAGAGTTAAATGTTCCCTAACTGACACTGCAGGACAGAAAGTACCCTTAACGTTTTTTCAGAATTGATCAATATTTTAAATAGATTTATTTTTTTAATTATATGCATATATGTGTGGGGGCGGGCAGGGTGTGTATCTGCACATGTGAGTGCAGATTCCCGTGGAGGCCAGAAGAGGGTGTCAGATTCTCTTGGAGCTGAAGTTATAGGTAGTTGTGAGCCATCCTTCTGTGTTAGCTAATTTTCCTTCCTTCCTTCCTTCCTTTTTTTTTTTTTTTTTTTTGAGACAGGGTTTCTCTGTGTAGCCCTGGCTGTCTTGGAACTCACTATGTAGACCAGACTGGCCTCAGACCCACAGAGATCTACCTGCCTCTGGCTCCTGAGTGTGCCACCACACCCGGCCTGAGTAATTTTCTGTTGCTGTGATAAAACAAGCAAGTTACAGAGGGAAACAGAGGAAGCAAACTAAGAATGTTCACTGAGAGCATTTGACACGTCAAAGCCGGTCTACAGTGGCACACTTTCCCTAACAAGGTCACACCCCCCTAGACATCCCAAACAGTACCAAGGAGCCAAGTATTCAAACATGTGAGCCCATGGGGGATGTTCTCATTCAAACCACTAACGACACATGCATGCTGGGAACGGAACCCTGCCCGCCCCCCCAGGAAGAGCAGTGCATGCTCTTCGCTTCTGAGCCATCTCTCTAGTTCCCATTGACCAACATTTTAAATTTGTATCTTTCAGTGCGGAGAACATTGCAAATCAGTGTGTGAACACATAGCACAGAATGGCAGAGGTGTCCTTGGAGCCATTTCAGAAACTGCTGGAAATTCGGTCCTAATCTCAAGTCAAAATTCATTTAACCGGTTTGTAAAATGAAAGTCAAGTCAGCAACTCGGTGTTTTGTTTTGTTCTTAAAACCAGGCATTCTAACATAATCCAATATGCAGGTATGCTGATGCATGCTGAGAAATGACGGCAGGAGAAATACTATAAGTTTTTGTTTTCTGTAATTAACCATGTTCCTGTAAGAACAGTAAACGCGGTAAGAATAGTAAGGGCCGAGGCTGACGGCTTCAGAGTTTACTGAATCTGGGTTTAGGTGTTTCAAGCGGTGATCACTGGCCCACTGTAGTGAAACACAGGCCGTGTGCCTGTTGTGTGCCCAGAACTGGGCTGCAGTGACGTCACACAATGCCCCACGACTGCCAACACCTCCCTAGAGTTCATGACTTGTTAATTTTGTGCTCCTTTTTGGTCATTCTGCATCCCGAAATGTCTACTGTGTCCGAGGTGTGTGTGTGTGTGTGTGTGTGTGTGTGTGTGTGTGATCCCCCCACATTTAATTGTAGAATCCTGAGCGGGGTCACGATGACTGTCTCCCAAGCTGCGCTTTAGATGTCACCTCCTTAAAGAGGACAGGCCTGTTTGTGGTCGAGTCCTCTGTCTGGTATTTTCATCCCATGCCAAGCACTCAAAAACCCCTTTGTCTCTCCTGTCTTTCTGCTTTCTGCCTCTCTATGCCTCTCATTTCCCAAAGGGCAGGGAGTGGGGAGGTGATGTCTGCCCTGGTGCTTCTCAGATGTTTGGGGTAAGCTTGGAGGCTGAATTGTTTGCTCACGAAGCCATTTGGGCTCTCTCCACGGAGGCGCCTGAGTCACCAGCACCAGCTCCCGCCACAAAGTAGAGGCACAGAAATCTTAGTCCCCTCAGTTCCCACCGCAGGACCCAGGACTCAGGTTTGTGTTGTGCTGGAAACCATTTGGCAGCACACGGTATTAACAAGTATTTGCAAGCCCAGAAATAGTTCACTGCTCTCCTCAGCCCTGTCTCAGGTCCCTTGGGGCCCCTGTCCTCTGAGGTAACTGCTGACGAGGTTCTGCAGGGACCAGGCCGGCCTCTCAGGGTTCTGCAACCCAGGTGGAGGACATCTAGGCTCCCCAGCTGGGTAGAATTAAGGCAGTCTTCTCTGAGAATCACTACTTACAGGAGTCCACAGTAACAAGGCCCTACTTTCTACCGTTTGGCCCCAAAGCCACAAAAGTGCAAAACACAGGACTTGGGAGCACCTGGTGGTTTCCAGGGATCCACGTTAGCCACAGCGTAGGAAGCAGCTGAGGGGCCGCTCAGGTAGCCCTTAGTCGCAGGGCTGTGCAAAACAGGAGTCCCAGGATGATTACAAGTTTGCACTATGGACCCTGAGAGTCCACTATGGTACGTCAGTCACTCCTGGTCCTGCCATCCTGGTGACCCACCCCAGGGGCCCCCATGGTGGAAGGAAAGAACCTTCAGCTGCCCTCTGAAATCCATATTCACCATTGCATGCATGCTCCCTCTCCCGGTTAAAAACAACAATAAAACGTAGTTCACAAAATGAGGGGCTGGCAGGGCAAGGTGCTTCAGCAGTTAAGAGATTTAAGTTTTTGTAGAGGACCTGAATTCAGTTCCCAGTACCCAAGTTGAGCGGCTCACAACCCACCAGACACCGTGACTCCAGCTCTTGGAGATCCAAAGCCTATGAACTCTGAGTAATTGCATTCACTTGCACAAATCCTCTCTCTGTGTCTCTGTCTTTCTCTCTCAAATACATCCACACACATATATTTATTTATTTCTATTTATTTTTTGTTTTTTGAGACAGGGTTTCCATGTACATCTTTGGAGCCTGTTCTGGGACTTGCTCTGTAGACCAGGCTGGCCTTGAACTCACAGAGATCCGCATGCTTCTGCCTCCCAAGTGCTGGCACACACATTTTTAAAAAAATGTAATTTTAAAAATTTAAAGGAGGGTAAGGGGTGTGTCAGAGTGCCTGTAGTGCTCAGAGGCACTGGGTTCAAGCCTTAGCATGCTGTCCTGGTGAGGTTTTTGTCAACCTGACACAAACTGGGGTCATCTGGGAAGAGGCAACCTCAACTGAGAAAATGCCCCACCTCCCATTGGTCTGCCCATAAGGCAGCCTATGGTGCATTTCTTGATTAATACTTGATGTGGGAGGGCCCAGCTCCCTGAGCGTGGGGCCACCCCTGGGCAGGTGGTCCTGGGGGCTATAAGGAAGCAGGCTGAGCAAGCCAGGAGGAGCAAGCCAGTAAGCAGCACCCTCCATGGCTCTGTATCTGCTCCTGCCCCCAGGCTCCTGCCCTGACTTCCCTGGATGATGAGCTGTAGTAGGGATGTGTAAGATGAAATAAACCTCCCCTCCCCAAGTTGTCTTTGGTCATGGTGTTTATCACAGCAAAGAAACCAAATTACGACACCAGGGGGAAAAAAAGGAAGAGAAAAACTACGTAAATTCTATTCCATTAACACCAACAGGAATAAAACACCGGGAAATTTTATTTAACACAGAAGCGTCAGCGGGACATATAATACATGCGGTAAGTCCTCTGTAAAGTGGGCTGGATAGCAGATTTTCTTTTGTTTGTAGGCTGGAGTGGCCTGTATGGCTCCTTCTCCTGAGCCCTCACTGGGAGAAGGTTCTGGCCTTGGCAGAGATGGCTCCCCTCCCAGCAAGCCAGGGTAAGTATACAGCCAGCATCAGGTCTCAGATGTCACCAGGCACAGAGAGGCTGGCCTGGTCTACAGAGTGAGTCCCAGGACAGC